GCAGGCAAACAAAAAGCTTGTCTGGTTTTTCACTGGAAAATAATGCAGCATGAAGAAGTGGCATTAGTTAAATGCTGCCTGTGAATGAAAGGGCAAAGGAGTCTGTGACTAAAGCGACTGAACAGACACAAACATGGCTCACGATGGCTGCTTTCATGTCTGTTTTCTGAAACAAAATGTCAGACCTCTTTCCACTTGCTGTCTGTAGCTGTTCTGCCAGTGTGACACACTGTTAGAATATACTTTACATACACGGCCTGAAACCCCTGAAATTACAGCACCTCATCCCAAGCAGCCACTCAAAAAATCTGCCAAGTGTCTTTGCTGCCACATACAACCCACAGACAACATCTGGGGTGGCACTCTGGTACTCCAGAGAGGCAACTTCCAGGGAAAAACCAGAAACATTGGTACATTTTTCCAGGTCATAAAGGTTTAATTCACAATGGATGTTGCATCAAGACGTCTCTGAGCATCCACAGGGAGAAGGTGTTGACAGAAAGGCAGGCTGAATATTCTGCTTTCTCTTCAAAAAGAAAATCTTTCCTAATTGCAGAATAAACAGGGAAAAAATGCAATTCAAAAACATCAGGAAGAAGAAAGGTTAATGGGAAACATTTCTTCTTAACATAAATACTCCATATTATTTTATTTCATTTATTGCATTGAACCTATATCAGGTTTGTGTGCATTTCACCATCTTTGAACACGATTTTAGCATTTTCTGATAGTCCTTTATCTTTGAAAGTAGGAATTATATGGGTGGGGATGATAAATGTGGAAAGAATATGAGATGGTCTTGACAGGGGAAGATTTAGCAGAGCAGGATGAAAAGAAAACAAAAGAATTTACTTTATAAAAATTATTTTAGGGACTCCACATTTAAAATTTGTTTTTTGTCCCCAGTGGCTTTTGAGCATACTTTATCACACTGCCAAAGAAGCACTCTTCCATCAGAAATTAAGCTGAAGTAATTCCATTGGCAATTGTCTGCCTGATTCACAAGCAAGGGTCTTTCATGCCTTATGAAACTGATATTCAGCACACTTTTATTTTTACATGGTATATTCAAAGCTTACTTTGAATCTTCATTTTATCCAAATGCCCTGAAACAAAGCAAGGAGTGTAGGGTCTGATTCCTACTAATGTGACGGCTTGCTTTTAGCTCACTTCATGACTGGCATGCAAGGTGAGTAAAGAAGATACATGGGTCAGCTTTATTTACCTTATAGCTGAGCCCATGCTGATAGGTCTGCAACTGAGCTCATGGGTGCCTTTCCAAGTTCTGCTAAGGAATTACATGACATACGTGACTGACTTGGTTGCATAAGTCAGTGGCAGAAATATGAAATAAACTGCATTTCTCAGTGTAAGGTGTATAGCTAGACCATTCCTGTAACTCTGGATATGAGTTCCTCCTTGAAAATTATGCAAATACTAAACTTTTCTCACTTAACATTAATGCCTTTTTTCTGTTAGCATTTATAGATCAAGACAAAGGTATTTTAATATCCATTTTCTTATGTTCTGAATAAATTAAAAATTTAACTTTTTGCATGTTTCTTGCTGTATCTTTTTTTCTTATGAGGAAGTATTGTGATTCAGAACAAGTTTCATACCTCCAAAGTAGCTGGAAAAAGGGTATTTCAATATAATATATATCAGGGCTATGTCAGGAAGATAACTAGGGAAAATCAGGCTAGCTACAGCCAAAGATATCCAGCTGTCTTAATCCCTATAAATCTCTGCTAGAGCAAGTGGAAAGAAAATATGTAAAATATCAAAACTGCATGTGTCTCATATTTAAATGTTTCCACAGAAGTCTAACCAAGCTTGAAAGTTAATCTTTAATTCAAAGAATAGGAAATACCAAGGAATCATTTACAAGGCCACAGGTCACCAGGGAATACAGTAGTCTGACTTCATAAATCACAAGCAAGCAATGCTAACTGAGTCTTTAGTGGTTTCTATCTCATTTTCAAGGGTCTGTACATCTGTTGCATAGTTTTTAAATGCTGGTGGCGATCAAAACAATGTACAGAGGAATATGTGTAACCATGGGGACTAAAAAGAGAATTTCTGTGGTCATGCTTGACAAGATCCCAGAACTGAAACCTCTGAAATCCACAGGCAAAAGTTTAACATGTCATGGCAGGCATTTCATCTCTTAATTCTATTCTGCATTTAAAGTTACATTACGGTACTCCAAGGTCATTGCCTGCCCAAATATTCATCTCACAGATTAATACCAGGCCATCAGGCTACTCCCTAAAAGAGGAAGCGAATCAATCAATGTTCAGAATTCCTTCAGCAAAGCCATCAGACACCACACTGCACTTCCAGAAAGTTTCAGGATGAGGTTCGAGGAACCAGTTAGACAGATGTGCAAACTCCAGTGCTAAAAACTGAGGATTAACAGAGGTCTGGTCAGATAGCAGGAAAGGACAAGACTCCAGAGACTGAGTCCACACAAGCTGTGTCAAGCTGCATGGTGAAATAAAGCAATAGGAAGGTATGAGGTGGGAGATAGCTGTGAAGGGAAACATCTGAAGGACATAAAAAAAAATTTAAAATGCGCCTGAATCGAAGGCATCTTGAGAGGCTGTAAATGGTAACATTTCCCTAAGCTGTAGTAATTTTTACTATTGCTGCTTTTTGTGAGTCATGTGTCTGCTTCCCCCCAGGCTCTAAAATGGGAATAACACCTCAGAAGGATGCCTCTGAGATTTAATTATCTCAATGATCCTGAGTAAAGTAAGACCATCTTGCTTTATCAGGTGTACCTCCTTAATACAAATTAAAAAGAAAATCCATTAGGAAGTTTAATGATTTGTTATCTAATATAGAGTATGCAGACACCATTTAATATCTTCAGAAGAGACTGGGGAATGGGAGTCCTCATTTTGATTTTCAGGGAATATCTGGAGAGCATGTGCAGCATGTGAGCTGTGAGAATCTCTCTCCATCCTTTTACTGGGTTCCATGAAAATGAAGGGCTTCTAATCCGAATTACGGCCATTACAAGGGTCGGGGGAAAATCACTTTCCAATAGGTGTTGAATCACTTGTTGAAAGCAGAAGTCTGCAAGTCCTAGAGCCCCAGCTCTAACTGAATATGGGCAAAATCTGGATGTAACTCCCAGCACACGAGTTTTGAATAGCTTTACATAACTTCCAGCAAGCAATGAAGTTACTGCTCTGAAAGCTAATTACTCACAACCAGTATCAATCAGATTACTCATGTAAATAGTCAGCCAGGCACAAGCAATAATAAGAAAATCTATCCCTTTGACTTTCATGTTTAGCAAACTCATATTAATGGATCTTCCACGCTATAATCTTTATTCCTTATACTTCCTTTAAAATTCCTCTATTCTCACTGTGTCCTAGCAGGAATTTACACACCATGAACAATGGGCAGTTTAACTGAGTTGATTGTGCTGGTTAACTGTCCCAGTAGGGACCTAGGGGTTTGTACCCTCAGCATGGGCAGAAAGGAAAGAAGAGGGATTGCTATCTCCCCAAAAACCCTGGACCTATGGACCAAAGATATCAGAAAGGGCAGGCACCCTGAGACCATCTCCACTTCTGCCAAAGCCTTGCTCACAGCCTGTAAACTGGAATTTATTTTTTGGCTTGACAGGGCTCCCCTATTGAGACTTTAAAGGCTTGCAAACGCCACTAGTATCTCATGTGAAAACAAAGCAACTAGGGCTTGACAAGGGGTGTGGAGGAGATTTATAAGGTGTCTGTCATGGCAAGAAACACTGTCAACAACCCATACAGAAAAATATTGTCCTACTTATCTTTTGTGGATGAAAATTCAAACAGTGCTTCTGAAATAACATCCTCAGCTGTGTCTATCTCCTGACTTATAAAGTGACATTCTGCAGAGTTTAAGCATGGCACAGCAGCATAGGCCATTTGTGAGGAGAGCTATCATGCCCTGAGAAAAAAAGATAAAAGAGATAAATAGCCGAGTACAATATTGTACCTCAACAAGCTAAAAGACAATCTCAAAACTGAATGGAGGAATGGAGAGCTTTTATTTCTTGGTTTTTTAAAGAACAAAGCTTAGTGATTTCCTTTAAAAGCTATTCTACAAGCTCCCCTAAATCCTATTACAACTTAATGTGAAATGCATCTGTTTCCATAAGACCCATAGTGGCTGCATTCATCCTTTGTAGTCTGTCCTTTGTTGTTTTTGCTATCTATTCTTGTCGATTTCCCCACTCTAGTATACCATACACAAAACAAGAGCGGATAAAATTTTAGTCAGAGCATTTATTTATTAAGTTGATGCTGGAAAATCAGTTTGTTCCTGCTTGCCACCTGAATCATGCCAAATTAAATTATTGTTCAAGGAATTCATAAGGTAAAGAAACTGTTTCAATACTGTCCCAACATTTCTTGCGTGTGGATTCTGTATTCAGCTACAGATATTTAGCTACACATAATAGCAAGGATGAATATAGCCTCTGCATGACTTCTCACTGTAACTGAGATCCAAATGTACTGCAATGTATTCAGTCCGTGTATCTTAAATCAGCTCAACATCAGCTCAGCACTGCACCATTTTTTAGAACCTGCACATGTAGCTGCCTATATAATATTTTTCTAAGACGTGACCAAGCTGGTGGGTTTATCTGATGTACACTATTTAACTGAATTCACATTCAGCAGACTGTGAGGCATATTAATTCTTAAAAAGGTGTATATTTAGAAAACCTTAGATAAATGGAAACTAGGAAGCACAAGATGCAACATGCTTTTATTAATGTCTTGCCAGTGGAAAAAGGTGACTTCGATTGTTTGTATGTTCTGAACTCAAATGCTGGGTGTCTTGTTTTTAAACACAAGGAAATTAAGTTTTAGCACCTTTAGCTTTTTTAATCTTCACCATCATCACCATTACAAATTCATACAATGTATTGTTTAACATTATAATTAGCGTGGCTGATGTTTTTTAATCTGTTTTCCCTCTCGTTGTCTCTTAACCAGGTAACAGACATTAAAGAAAAGCTAAAGCTCTCTAAAAAGTTCTGGTCAACCCTGCCCTACACAATCTGCAAGGATGAGCGGGTGACAGCGGGTCCGTCCGTCGAGGAGGACTGCTGGAATGGCCACACCAAGGCGAGGTGAGGGGGACCCCTCTCCAACCCACCCGGCCCAGATCCCCGCCTGGCCTGAAGCATTCATGAAACTGGGGGACTTTCACAAAACTGCCTATGAGGGCGAAACAGAAATGGGAAGAATAAGTCACTGTCCACACGCTCCTTGTAGCCAAGATTACTTATTGTCAAAATGCCATTAAAGCCAGAGTGTGAGTCTGGGTAAATGTGCACAGAGGGTCAGCATGTGAAGGCAGAGAATGTGCATTGGTTCAGCTCCAGAAGGATAATTTATACTGAGATTTCAAAGAGCTCTTTAGGTCCATTTAGCATCCCTGTGTTGGGACTGACAGCTTGTGAAGAAATTGCACTCTCGGGATACCATACTGGGATGAAATAGAAATTGGAATTTCAGTTCTGCTTGCTATTGGCTGGCAAAGCTTAGGGCTATTTACTGGGGGGGAGGCAAAAAATGAAAAATCACCGCCAGAGAATAAATGTAGCACTCCTACTTATCTTGTGTAGAAGATTTGACCTTATGTTACTTCTTCAGAGGTAACTGTGATCATCTGCCCATGTTTGTGATGAGTATTCTGTGAGTTTTAATTTTGAAGTTTACTTGGCCCTGGCTGCAGCAGAGCAGGAGCCAGCAGATGAGCAGGTGTCTCCAAAAGTCCCAGTGTGGATTCATCAGCTGACAGAGAAGAGGATGTGATTATCCCTGCTGAGAGGGGGAGGAATTGGCTCAGGGACCATGCCAGGGGCATGGTTTCAGGTGTGCAGCAGTATCCTGTGCTTTTGGGTAGACATGGGGAGAGGAGAGGTTTGAGTGTCTGATGACAGCTGAATCTCGAGAGAAGTGACACATTCTGGCACTCAGGGACTGGAATCTTTATTTTCCTTTTGCCTGAAGATACATATGAAGACAGAATATAAAAATTAGCAAAAAAGAAAAAACAACCTATCAATTAAACAAACAATAAAAAAAAGGGACAAGCATGTAAAATATAAAAACAGTGAAAGTAAGAAAACATAGGAAAAAAGAAACGTGCTCAGTGTCATTTTAGACAGATGTATGGATGGACAGATGCATAAATAGATTGCACCCACTTCATCTCATCATCTGATCATTTTGATAAGGAGCACAGTTTACAGGAGGATGTTTCACACTGAATGCACACCATTTTTTCCTTGCCTTACTACATGGCCTTCAAAGGAATTCATTTTGCAGACAGGAGGAGGGGTTTGTTTGGGACACTGCTAGCTCTTTGAATCCACTTATGGATGCATGCGAACAAGTCTGTCCAAAAGCATGAGCCACTGCTTAGTTGCTAAGTCCTAGATCCAGAGAAAGCCCCTGGGGATTCAGAGAAGTGCTAGGAGGAGTGTCTGGCTATTACAGGACTCATCATAAAGGAACAGTGTTCCAAACAAAAATGCCTGGTTTCTCTTTTTCTATTTTATCCCTTCTTGTTATGAGCTTTGAAAGACATGAGCTCAGGCCTGTGCACTGCCAGCAGTTAAGCAGAGTTTCAAGGCGTGCCAGCTAAATGCCATGAGCCACATCAGGGTGCATGCATCAGTAAGAGATATATGCTACTCTTTCTACAAAAGAGCAGCCAAATCCCTTAATATCTATCTATTCCTCCTGGTTTCCATGCTTAACCTAGTGTCTGTACCACATCTGGCAAGTACTTGGCAGCTCTCTTCTGCTCCTGCACTGAAGGGTTTGGCACAGTTTCCACGTTTGTTGGGAGTTAAGGAGGTACATTTTATGCATGCAGTTTTTCACCCTTCTTTTGCAGAATTTATCTTATGAGAAGCCTGGGTTTCTTCCCTATGCCTTCTGAGATTAATGTTCTGGAGAGAGAAGAGCAGTCCTCTGTTAATAATCTCCTTGGTAATTGAACACAGATGTTTCACTGGATGTAGAGTGACAGCTTCAAAATATCACCTGAAGATACCATTTCAGCAAGTCCAGCCACTGCTCCTCTGCCCAGTTTCTGTTTAATATCCATTCTCAAAGGAAATGTATAGTCATAGTCTTAGTAACAGAATTCAATAAATGCTTCAGGTGGAGGCAACAGTAATAAATCAGAGAAACACCACAGAATGCCATGGCTGGATATGAAATAGTATTAAAAACAATATTGAAAATAAATAACTCTAAATGCAAAATCATTTCTTGGCCAGTGGACAAATACTTTTACTGCAGCAAAAAAAAAAAAAGTTTCCTTGATCAGACTGATTAGTATCTGATATCAAATACTAGCTCACAAGAACAAGCATAGCAAAATCTGGCCAGTATTCATATATATATATATATATATATATATATATATATATATATATATATATGTGTGTGTCTGTGTCTGTGTCTGTGTTCACTGTGTCAGCTGTCACAAGCACCCCTGTGCTATATGATGAGCTGCATGTTGAATTCCAGAGAATATGACAAAAACCTGAAACCTGTAAAAAAAAAGGAAACTTAGCCACCTCCTGTCTTCCTAGACATTAAGGCTATAAGTAAGAAGACAACATGGTGTTGGCTACCATTGGGAAAGGAAATTCTTGCTGGGGTTAATCGAATCCTGTTTTAGAATAAAGAATTAGAAACTTTGAATTGCCAGATAGACATTATGCCTTATGCTTCACTTTACACATCACCTTTTGATGCTGCTTTTACAGGGGAAAAGAGTTACAAACCTGAGATCACAGAGAATGAGAGCTTGGCTTTCTCCTCAGAGAGGCATTACACCAAGGTCATTTGTGGTTATTACACTCCCTAAATATCACTTTGCTGCCATGATTAATTTACAGTGACACCAGGTCACCAGCTGAAGGTCGCCAATTCACAAGTAATCATGGCGTAACAGAGCCATCCATTTGGTGTTCTGGAAGGGTGCTCTTGGCTCATTGCTGATCCTGTACAAATAATGGTTTTAATCAGGTCACATCACGTAGAAACTAGTGCTGTGGAAATGGGAAAATATTTATTAGATGGATGAATCTATTTTTTTTTGAAAAATCCATATTAAAGGTAATAATAATAGCTACTTCAGACAGAGTGCCTTTTAGAGAGATGCCCAGCAGGATTTCTCCAGCATATTTGTATTCACAAAAAAACATGAACATAATTTTTTGTTTAAAGAATTAACATCTTCTATCAGATGTGCAGAGACAGATTTCTGAAAGCTATTTAGGATCTAAAAAACATTAAGATCAAACTTTGAAAATTTACCTCCCTCCTTACATGCAATTAAACTCTTAACAACAGCTGATGGCAACTTCACTAATAGGTATTCTTCAGAATCAATAGATTTTCCCAAGAATTATGGAAAATCAGGCTTTAGGACTTAAACCAAGTCCAAGGTATTAATCTTTGAATAGATGACTTTTACTGAAGTAAGAATGGCAACCAAATCCAGAACCTTCTGATGTTCAGGAGAATAACCTTGAATTGCTCCAGCCAACTCAGCCAGCTCATATCAACCAAAGCATCTGAGAGATTGTGCTCATGCACTATCGTCCTGGTGCACATGCTCACCAGGGCTATAGAATTATTAATATGTCTCAGCTCTGAAAAGCTGTAATCCATGGAATAGATGAGACCTGCATTCCTTTCCACAAAGAACCTATCACTCCTCCAAACTGAAGAAGAAATAGAATTATATATGAGACAGAAAAATAAAACAAACAGGAAAACATAGAGAAAGGTAAGGAATAAAAGGAAAAATGAACACTATAATTTTCCATATCTAGCTAAAAACTACAAGGTATGTCACCAAAGCAAACACAGGATAAATTCTCACCTGTCCTGACATTCTCTTCTTCTCCTGCCACACATGTGGGAGCGTCTACTTCTGTGGCAGAGAGCTTGTAATTTCTGGTGAAATTCAGTGGGAAGACTCACCAGATCAGTGTTTGCCCTGAGGAAGTTGCTCACTGCTGTCCAGCAAAGCTTGCAGCAACAATGAAATGAGTGTTCTTTAGCTGGATGAAGGCACAGATGACTGTTTAGCACCACTAATGAAAGGGGGAATAAACCACTTCTCACTAAGTGTGAAAACTGCTTATTCTTAATTGATGCTCTAATTTATTTTTGTATCTTCAAAAAAAAACTGACAGTGAGGATTTTCTCCCTCTCCTTGTGTCTGCTTAAGCTTTTCTCCAAGATGGAGGGGAAAAACCAAACTGAAAATATCCTTTGGGGATTACCTCCTGAGCAAACAGAATCAGATGAGGTGAACTAGTTAGGCAAACAAGCCAATTTTCCACTGCACTTATCTTTCTGGACCAGATGTGACTGACTAAACCCAGCCCAGCCTGAGTAAGCCTGTGCTGTATTTTGTGTTCTATTGCCTACAATTCTGTGCACCTGGAATAACTCCAGCACTGCCTAGGTGGCATGCCCCAGTTGTACTGTAAGCAGCTGCTGTGGCAGCAAAGTATGGAGAATGTTGCCCTTAAAGACAGATTCTTTTTAAAAATCAGAGGAGTCCTTCTTTCTTTTTTTTTTTTTTATTTTATTTGGGGGGGTGGGGTGTCAACTCTACATGCTTTATATATGTGATTGATTCATCAATAATTTTTAGACTTGAAAAGGAAGCAGACACCATGGAACATTAACAGGTTATTAAAAAAATAAAAGAGGGGGAAAAGAGAAGTGGTTTTAAATAGGCTTTGTGGTACTTGGCTATGATGTGCCAAAAGACATCTCTGCTGCGTCTGCTGAGACAAGCAAGAACTGTGGAAAGGCTAAGAGGAACAGAAAGCATTAATATTTTAGAAAACAACATAAATTACACTAAAATCCTGACATAGCTGAGCAAGGAGCAAACACCACAAAACAAACAGTATTGTTCAGCTTCTCTATACTCAGAGGGCTAAGAAACCTTGCTTCTCCTTTTTTTTCTTTTTTTTGCTTTGCAAGGAGGATGGAAAGAACAGACACTGATTCAGGTTGGCACTTCTCTTCATTTATAATGGGCATACAGATCCTGTAATGGCCAAGCCTACAAAGAGATCATTAAGGAGAGCAGAAGCAGCAGCAAAGCTTAAAATTCACAAGGGTGTCTCAACTTACGGAACTGCAGCAAAAGCAGCTGTGTTCAACAACTTTGCCCAGCCAGCAACAAATCTTCTGTCAAATCATGGTCCCAAGACATGGCTTCCTATTCGGTGTGACTTAACCCTACCCCACACACATCAAAATGTTTTTGTCAGAACATGTGTTGGGCTGCCTCACCGAGGCTGCCACTCACAAAACACCTTGGGCTGCCTGTTCTCATATCTGCATCAGTCCTTTAAAGAAAGGAAAGCTATTTGAAGCTATTTCATTCAACAGAGGCTTTTCTGTCTTTCCTCTCCCCCTGCAAAGAAGCAGGAGAACTAGTTCAGTAATGAGGGCAGAATCCAGCTACACATTCAAACGTGTAAATTCAGATACTTCAGTATGGGTGAGACAATAAGGGGTATGCTACCCAAGCAGTTGTAGTACCACTGGAGATTCTTTGGGCTGTCTGGGATGAGTGTGACACAGGACACTGCCTCCCCTCTGGACCAGAGCCAGGGCTAAAACTGCTTGAACATTTCTAAAAGCACCAATGTTAACATGCCTGAAAAGACCCCCAGAGTCCTGTCAGTGTACTCAAAGAGGCAGAGGCAGTTCCACTGCCTGAACACACTTACCTACTGCTATGTAAGATGGTCCAAGTAGTCATGGCACCTTCATGGAGTTGGGAAATTAGACCCTGGACCTAGTGGATATTCAAACCCTACTGGAGTGGCAGGATGACACCAAGCAGACTACATCCTAGTGGCTAAAGTGGCATTCAAGACTCCATTCAGCTGCCTTAAGAAAGACACACACTATAACTTTAGATGCCCCAGATGTCCAGGACCTCCCCCTAAAGCCTGCAGATATGATCCAGAAAGCCTCACCTTTCAGAGCTCACCTTTCAGAGCTAGTGACAAGAAGAGGAGGAATAACTAAGAGCATTCAAATGGCACCAGCTGTCTATGTTTATGCAAGGAAATCCCAGCAGATGAAACATAATGAACTAGTCATTTGGCCAAAGGCTCATGGGACTCCAACAGCTGTCCCTGCTCCACTGATGAATAAACTCCTGACTAGCTGTGACTAGATGTAGTGGTGGCTAGATCTGGTGAGAGTGGGACTCTGCTTATGCCCAGACTCTTGCATTTGAATACACAAGATTTGTGTAAACCTAAAGAATAATTTTCAGCCTTTCTAACTCTTTTGCTATTATGTCCTAAATGCCAAGGGAATTTAAGCATCCAGCTAACTCTTAGGCAATATTAAGCCATGGATTTGTTGTGACCTACACCAAGTATGTGTCCCTTACACACCTAAGTGAGGTACACTTGCCAGGAATGCTTTGGGGGTCACCAGATCCTGGGCAGATAAAGCACGGTGTGTAGCAGTTTGACAAAATCATTGAATGGGCTGCCCCATGTAAAGTTAGACAATCCTGAGAAGGACATGAGATGCACACTAGTCACAGTGCAAAATACAAACCTCCATGGAATGCACACACCAGAGCACTCTCTAATTGCTTTAACTCAGCACATTCTTCCTGTATTATTAATGGTAAGACAAAATGAAATCAGAAAGAAATCAGTCAAAGAAAGCCTGTGAGCTGCCCTTCAGAGCTATCCTTAGCTTCTCATGGACAGCTTGCAATAAAGGGCTGCTAACCCTTCATAAACAAGGAAATCAATCCACATGAATATTTAGCAATTTCAGATCACTTGTAGCTGCTAACAGCTATGGCCATTGTCATGGACAGGATACAGAGCAAGACAATCATCCTGTCTGAGCCAGTAGTTCAATCCTTACATTCTTGCTTTTTTAATCAACTGCACCTTGAAATTGCTGATTTACTACTAGGCTGAGTAATTTATCTACAGCAGCCCTTTCATTGGCAGAGACGTGTGACAGATGGAGATGCTGTTCCTTTGCAGTCCAAGGCATCCCTGCCTGCCAAGGTCTCCATCCTACTGCCTCCAGGCAGCTCTGCAGAATTATTTCCTATTCTGTCTTTAGTGATTCATAACACCATGGCCTGCAGTCTTCCATACTGGGGGAGGTAGCTCTGTGTTCTCACCACAGTAAATCTGACTGCAGGAGTCTGGATGGGATCCCCACAGGCAATGTTATTTCTCATTATGGTGCCAGTGAAACAGCAGGATAGGCAGCTTGAGGCTGGGTATTTTGGCAATCATGTTTGATTCTTCGATGTTCACACACCTCCAGTAAACCTTCAAAGGCCACTGGTGGCAAGTGAGTCTCATCTTGCAAAGTGAGGACCCATCACACTGAGACTGAGCCCTTCCTTGGTGCAGCGCAGTGTGGTTGTCTTGTGAGCCTCCAGAAGCAATGCAGAGCTTATTTTCCCTTCACCATGACTTCAACAGAAAAAGTCCTTTCATCTCACTTACTTTCACCTTTTTTTTCCAGAAATATTTGTTTTTCCAGACCAATATGAGCAATGCTGTCATCAATGCCAGACTTCAGTGCTGGTAGAGAATTGGGCATGCACAAGTGAGAGTGATGTGAAATTCTCTCAAACTATATTTGGTACCAGGCATCATGAAAGTTTGTCTTTAGTAGGCTAGACTTTGCTGTCATTACTTATTGTCTGAGCACACAAGCACACAAGGACTCCCACAAACATCAGTAGGACAGCCTGGTATGCAAACTAATTACAAAATAGATCATATCCTTATAAAGAACGTAAACAAAGGATAGATCTGCCCCAAATCCCTTGCAGCCTAAATATGAGGCAAAGATAGTAGGAAAAACAGACAAGAAAGAAGAGGGACGATATGATGCACTATTTTCTCAGGGTGCCATGCCAGCATAGAGAAATAATGTCAACCTTTTTTCAGCCTGGCAGCTGTAAAATGCACTGATAATTTTTGACAGAAATTCGAAGCAGGAAAAAATGTAGCTTTGCAAAAGCCTACAAGGAGAGCTTCCTGAGGACAAAGAACAGCAGGGGACAAAGAGTGCATCTTTAACAAAGGGTAATGGAGATTTTTACTGTAGGATGATTGGAGGCATGGGCTGCTTTTTTGTAGGGGAAAGATGTGCAAAAGCACACTTGCTGCTTGCAAGCAGCCTAAGACTGCATTATTCAAGGTCAGAGAAATGAATGCTGCAGTAATCAAGAAATTCTAAGGTAAGAGCCTGAATAAAAGATTCAGATTTCAGATGGATAGGAAATGCCATACCCTAAATGTTATGCACAGAGTACATGAGACATGAAAGCATAGCGTGGTTTAAGGAAATAATGACCAAATCAAAGAGAATACTGGAGTTTGGTAACATTAAAATGCTTTTTATGGGTCTGGATATCGTGTAGGCTGGAGATGTTGTTCATGGTGGTCTAAAAAAGAGATGCAAAGAGGAATTGGAGAAGAAAATTAAGTGCTCTTTTAAACTAGGAAAGCCATAATACCTCAAGATAGGCTCCTAAACTGTCTCAGAACAACAAATATGCTATATACAAAAAGGACTTCATATTTTTTAAGCAGAAAGAAATAAAAACAGCAGAATGCACTGTTAGATGCTTAATTTAGTGTGCAGCCATTCATGTCAGCAGAGGATATGAATATGTGGTGACTTACTGCTGGCTTGTGAACCTTTTCCATAGTTCACACAGTCATTGCTCTTGCTGGGGAGTATATGGAGAGTTAGGAGGTTGAAAAACCTAAATCCTCCCTCCGCATGCTCCCCATGCAGCTGTGCTACTAAACAGATCCTTTGGAGTCAGTAAAATTAAAAACTATATTTTTAAAGCAGTTTTAATGGATCTGTTTAAGAACTACACATTGAATTTCTTAGCACATCATTTACTGCACAGTGTTTTATTTCTGGAATTACTGTGCCTCACACTAATCTTTCATTCTGCTGCCTAGATACTTGCCTGAGATTATGAACGATGGCTTGACGAACCAGATCAACAATCCAGAAGTAGATGTGGACATCACAAGGCCAGACACCTTCATTCGACAGCAAATCATGGCCTTGCGTGTCATGACTAACAAACTGAAGAACGCGTACAATGGGAATGATGTCAACTTCCAGGACACAAGTAAGAAACCATTAGCTGTCATTACATAGCTGTAATTTTGGAACCCATTTATAAATTGGCTCCGCTGCAATGACTTTGTGGTCTTTGTGCTCTGCGCTGCTGACAACATAAAAAGTCTTTTTCCGTTCCATGAAATTCCAGTTATATAATTGTTTCTTTTGCTTCTCTTGCTTATCTCCATGTTTAATACATCCAGACACTGAAGGCTTTCCATAATGCCAGCAGTCTGATCCTTTTTCAGAAGAGCAGTTAATCACCTAATTAAGTCACAGTGGGTTTCATTTGGAAGCTTTACTGGGTGAAATATAGCACCGCCAACACTTCCTCATTCCCAATGTGTTCATCCCCACTGGGGTGCCAAGTGGAAGGGAGCAAAGGGATGAAAGCTGTAAGCTGCATCACTCACGCTGTTTCCCTCCCTCCTTTGTGCCAGGTGACGAAAGCAGCGGCTCAGGCAGCGGGAGTGGCTGCACAGATGACATCTGCCCCACTGAGTTTGACTTTGTCACCACCGAAGCGCCGCCTGTCGACTCGGACAGGAGGGAGGTGGAGGCTTCAGCCACACAGCCTGGCTGCTCACTGCAGACATTGCTCCTCATCTTCCTCAGCCTCCTACTGCAGAGACAGTGGAGATAATCCTGGATCTAGTCAGAGAAACTGTGTTTTAGCTACAGAAACAGCCTACTTTCTTCTTTTCTTATACTCTTGGACAATGGACCATGCCACAAACACTTGCAGTTTTCTACAAGATGGCAGTTATTGCAACCTGCTTCCCATTTTAGTTTTCCCAAAGAGTACCAGGTGCCAGACTGAACTGCTTCCTGCTTTTTTTCAGATATCTCTGAAGACAATATCCACTCTTGAGAGAATTCTTTCTCAATTCTTTATTACAGGAGACTTTCTGAGCTTCATTTCCTTTTATGCTGCAAAAGGGAAAAAAAAGATCTTACAGTATGTGTTTTTCCCCAGTGAGAAAAAAGACGGGGGAAGAAACCAAGAAAGTTTTCTTTCTGAATCAAGCCTGACTCAAGGCTGCTGCATTTCAACAGAATATCAACAAAACAAAAAAAAAAAAAAAGACAAGAAAGGAACAAAAAAAAATGCAACCCTTCTTCACTGACAGCCAGGTTTCCTTTAGGAACTTCTGTAGGATGATTCAGGTCATCAGAATGATCACTGTTATAGGGAGGAAGGCTGGATTTTTTTTTCCCCAACACTAAAAAAGTATGTCTCAGCAGTGAATGTCTTGCACTCCATCTGCCAACCACATCAGATTGGTATGAAGGTAGAGAAGCTGAAAAATAAGTTTATCTTATAGTATGTTAGTAGCTCCATTAGCTTCAGAATGTCATGTTACAGTTGCTTAGGATTTGAATCTTAATGCCCAGTAAAAATATGAGTAGTAGCACGATTTCACCTAGTTTCTTTTAGGATTTATCCATGTTATAGAATTGTCACAGTTTTCCACTTAGCTCACTCCTGTGAGCTCACCAGCCATGATGGTAATGTTAAACAACTCTCTTGACCCCTCACGGGTTCAAACAGAAAATAATCTCTTGTGATGTAATCTTTTTCCTTTTGTTGCTGTTCTGACATCGATTAGAACTTTTTGCTACTATGTCCATTACCCTACCAAGACAGCAATTCTCTAACAGACTAACAGCAACCGGATCAATAGCGTGTTTCACACCTAATTACATCCTTCATATCAGTTAATTTCAGTGTCGCAAGGATTTCTTCTACAAAATTTCAGATCAAGCAAGTATATAGTACTGACATGGAGATTTCTTTCACTTTTTTAGTCTTAGTATGATCATCTATTTTTATATATATAAATATATATAAATCACAGATTTTAACTTCTTAATTACGAGCTCAGGGTTGACACTTCTTTATAAGGAAAAAAAAATGTTTGGTCAACCAACTCTTCTTTTTTTGCTGCTCTGAAAAGTAACCCTTTAATGACTGGTGAGCATGAAAATAAAAGAAGAGAATTTTTTACATGTCCATTTCCTAACAAGTTTGCAGGTTGGTGAAGAAAACCTCTCTCATATGTGTGTGTTTGGTGGAGAGGGCAGGGGGAGCATGTGAGTTTGTATGATAAGGCTAGAGAAGGATGTTAATTGTGATGGTAATTGTACTTCAGATTCTTCAAGGATACATTGCTTTAATCATCATTGTCTAAATGGTTGTGATCTGGGATAGAGTTTGCCTAATTTGCATCTGGTCATAAAACCCAAGATGGAAGCTGTTTAAATCCTGGACAAATGTGTCAACAATTAGACATCAAAATCTTCCTTCTTTAATCAACCACAGACAAAGGATTTTTGGGGCAATTCTGCATGGTGTTGAAGTGATGGTGTTTGCCATGAATTTATTTCCTGATTCTTATGTTGACTCTGGAAGTGGTGTACACAAATTGTGGTAACACTGTAAAACCAGCCAACCACATTCCAATTTAGCAGCAGAGCAGGTAGATCATATCCATTGCAATCGCTTTTTCTTGTCAAATTATAATTAGCTATCGATTTAGGCATGAAATTAAAATAGAAAACACACAGCACGTTAGAATAAAGTATACTTAAGCACTTTTACCAAAAAAAAGTATTTACAATCTATTTATATAGTATGTCTAATAGCAAAAAGCATAAGTTTTGAGCCACTTGTATTCAATTCCTTTTTTTCCCCATTTCTTTACTTTGAAACATAATGATAGATAGCATCATAGAATCATGGAATCATGGAATGGTCTGAGTTGGAAGGGACCTTAAAGATCATCTAGTTCCATCCCCCCCTGCCATGGCAGGGATGCCATTCACCAGATAAAGTTGCTCAGGGCCCCATCCAGCCTGGCCCTGACAGGTGGTCTGTGGGCCCAGATTAGTATGTCACTGTCTAAGGGTGCAGATCACACAGGTCTTACATGGCCATAGCAATGCTTCCCGCTTCTCCAAATGTTCCCCTGGAGCAGGTCTTCTGATAGAGCATTTACTGTGTCCAGGAAGTTTAAGCCAATTCTCATAGGCTTTTTCTTTTGCCCTGGTACAGAAGGTATCAAGCAGAAGGTATTTGCTTTTAATTTTTTCCTGAACTTGCACATGCAGTTTTCTACAAGGAGAACCCTTTAAACATCTCCCCTGATCTATCTCTTTCTACCAATCTCCACATCCTCTCTACATCCTCAGCAACTTTGTTTCAGGAGAAATTAAGTTTGATTTTGATTTCTCTGGTTGTGTGTTTATTCAGTGGTAACTGATTCTATATCCATCTGATTATTCTGGATCTGAAAGCTTATTGACAGGCAAAAGTGTCCAAGCCATCTGATGCAAGTCCTCTGCTGTACTTGCTCCGCTCTGCTAGTGAAGGAGCTGATGGACTCATCAGGTTTTTGTGTTGGCCTTGGCACACATGTAGGTGATCTGCTGGTGCAGCCAAGGTGTGTGTCCAGGATGCTCTCATCTATTTGCAGACTTCCATGGACTTTTGGACAAGCAGTAAGAAAGAACCCCCTTCAGCGGTTCACTGAAGGTGCTTATCACTGGAGGAGCTTGCCCTGCTCCTCTTGAACTGGATGTTACAAACTGCCACTCAAACAACACACTAGCTTAATCTTTGACAAAATGTGATTCTTGCTGGAGTTCTGCCAGAAATTTTTGTCTTCCGTATTATTTCTCCTCTTATTTTGCTACTATGCATGGTGACATTTTGTCAGGAGATGGAGATGCCTTTGCGTGAAGTTACTGTGTATACATTTCTTTAATAGTCCCTAAAGGTTGAATACACTCTTCATACATTGCATTTTTCTGAGATTAAGAGAGCTATTAAATCTCCAAAGAAAATTAAATTGGGAATGAAAGAGAGAAAAGAAAAAGCATTCATGTTCATAAATGTGAGAATCTACATAATTTCCAATTATTCTATTCACACATCCTTTGCATCCAATAGCTCTTCTTCTGAGGTAATTTTTTGGTGTGCCACAATTTAAATATTTCTCTTCTGTTAGCAGCAGATAAAATAAGAAATTATAAAGAAGACAATTACATGTTCAAGAAAAAGGAGCTAAGTCCTAAAGGAAATGTCCTTTGATTGTGTAAGCCCTCTATGCTGCACAATCTAGAAGTTCTTCACATGTAATGTTCTTTTAAAGTGGAGGCTAATAAAAAATTAAATGCAATTAATTACATAACCATTGCTGTAGACCCCTGTGACGTTTAATTTTTTCAATATTAACTGAGTTGTTTTTGCATCATCCCCAAATTTTTCATGTTCATTGTACTGCAGATTTTTCTACAGATGACTCAGTACATAGTACTGTAAATGCAGTGCAGACTACCTGGACTCTGACCAAATTTAGGCATTTCAACAAAAGACAATCAGAAAAAATTGAAAAAAGAGAATAGAGATTTCCTGCAAAAGAGGAAGAGGAAAGGAAACTGTGCCTCTGTGTTCTGGTAAGGGTTGATCTATCCCAGTTCCCTTAAAGGCATCATAGACCTCTGTCCATGGAAAGCTCTGAAAATCTGAGTCTCAGATGCACAAATCATCCCAGTTCTGTGGGACTTTTAGTAAGAATGATCCCCACAGATGTGTGAACCAGTTTGAGCTGCTTCCATGCAAAATGGCTTTACTGTGCAAGTGACTGAGCACTGGCACAGATTGCTCAGAGAGGCTGTGGAGTCTCCCTCACGGGAGATATTCAGGAACCATCTGGACACAATCCTGTGCCATGTGCTCTAGGGTGACCCTGCTTGAGAAGGGAGGTTGGACCAGATGACCCCCTGTGGTCCCTTCCAACCTGACCCATTCTGCGATTCTGTGATTCTATGAGCTGGAGCTGTTCTTGGGAGGTGGACTCTGTGCAGTGTCTCAGCAGGCAGCAGTTGCCTTCAGTTTACTAACTGATTCTGAATCATTATCAAATGTAACTATACTTATTCACTGAAACTTTTATTATTTCAACATAAAAAATAAATTACAGCACTGATGCATGTTGTGTTTTTTGTTTTTAATTTGCTTCCAAAGATAACCCATTAGAACTGAATACAGAAAATTTTAGAACAATTATGCAGGTTTCTATGGATTTCATTATGGGTATTTAGAAGAAATCCACATTTCAAAGACCACAAAACTATGTTTACTATATTAACCCACAAATGTTCAAACATGCCAGAGGAGAATGGATAGAGTTAACAACAGTGGAATGTTACATAAAATTGAAAAAAACATAATTTTAAAGGGAAATTCAGCAGTCAAAGGCTAAGTCTTAGTGTCAGCACTGAGATTATGTTGTCAAAACATAATAGACTCAGCAATGCCTACTTTCAAGAAAAATAGGGCAGCTGATGCACTGAACATGCAATGTTTTCATTACAACTACTCAGAGGGACTGTGAGGATCATATTAATATGTGTAATTATGACCCTTTTTGGATAAGATAATGATAAAGACCAGAGAGCCATGGTAACAGGGTGTGTGAAGCATAAATGTTATGATAGTAACAATTTCCTCCTCTGTTAAACAGTGTAGGAGATACAATGGAGAATGAAAAGCTTTGATTTTTAAAATAAAGTTCCAACATCAGACAAGAGTGATGGTCTAAAATTAATTTAGTCTGAGCATTTTGCAACAATCTGTCCAGTTCAAATCTGCTGACCAAACAACCAATCACCTGAGGGTAATTTGCCAATGTGACATGAAGCGCTCACTTACAGGATCTACTTAGTTTTTCTACTAAGCTGAGTATGTAGTTGATGATTCTGATTGTGCATCATATGAGGTCAGAACCAGACTTGTGCTTTGCACCTGTGTGAAATCCTGGTGCCATGACAAAGCAAATGGGAGCTTTGTCTTTAACAAGAATTTTGACTACAATCAGGGAGAAAAAAATATGTCCCTTTTTTTCTGGAAGCTGTTCATATGTGGTTTATTTCTGACTCTTAATAAAACAACGACACTGTCTATAAAAGAAGTGATGTTAGCATTGTCACCTGCAAGTTTTCAACCTTTACTCCAAAGCAGTTGCAGTCATTCTGCCTGGTTCCCCCACAGCCAAAGGTCTCTGGAATTTCCACAAGTTCA